CCCATTATGTAAATAAAGGCGCAAAACACAAATTTTAATTGTATCATTGTAAATATCGTGTTTAACCCTGACACCAGAGGTATCCAGATCAAAGATAAAACTTATTTTGTTTGTTTTATGGCAAGTATAAATTTATCAATGCCTATTAATCAAATTATGGTCCTAAACTTGCTAATCCTGCTGAAGAAAAGTTTAATTTTGGTTTCATTTGCAACATTGTTACTTGCAACCAACCAATTCACGAATATGTGTAAATATTGTTTTTATTTACTTGATGTTAATGTGATGCTTATTGCTAGAAAATAATCACAAATCATGGTTTCAAACTATTTAGACATATCCAAAATTGCCCAAAAAAAGCAAATAAATATAATTAACATAATAAATAAAGTATATTAAATCATTTACAACCATATACAAATTTGTTTAAAAAGATAAAAATGCAATTGTTTTTCAAGTCCTATTTTGTACTTATTTCACAGAAAGCAAGACAAAAAAAGTCATCCTAACAATGTATTAGTCCAGCAAGCTAATGTACTCTGAGAGGTTAGAGAAGATTTTGACAATCATGTATATACAGTATAATGCATATAGACTACAATAATACAACAGACAAAGATGTATTGGTTAAACATCATTGATTAAGATGCAAGACATTTTCAACAGCTTTTGTCAGCTTCTCCATATCTCATTTCAATCTCAGGGAAGACTAAAATACAAGCTAATCTCACAAAGTCTGCCACAGTAATTACAGTCAATTTACACTAATCACAGTTATCATCAGGCTTTTCATCATCAAGACAAAATGATGGCACTGTTGCCAATCCACTTTCTGTCTTACGAGTTATTAATGGCAATACACAGCCCATAGATTCTATTTGACCTTGGATGAAGGATGTGGCATTTGAACACGGCCGCTAAAATTAGCACACTTGCTTGGCCAAGGCTTCAATTAAGATGAGCAGAGTCTATTCCATGACTGCACCTTGTCTGAAAATAGAGAAAAATACAGGGAACCGATACACTGGAAGAAAGAATCAGACAGATCCCTGTTACCTCAGGCAGTCCATCTCCTCAGTGTTTTCTGATAAATATTTGCATGCCTCCAGGACCATGCGTTCACGACAGTATATCTCATAATGATTTTTTTACCTGGAGTAGAAAAGAAAAATGAAGTCTAGAGGAATCGGATACTATACAGTATATTGACTTTGGCCTACTTCCTTAAAATGTAAATTGCAGGTTAACCACCACAACCAATTAATATTTAAATTAAAGTGCTCAATACATTTAAACATTTCTGTCTTAAAATACATTAAAATAATATTTAATGAGGTTTCTTTAAAAGTAGCATGCTTTTTTAAGGTAACTGGGTGATGACCTCATAATAGGGAGCGAGGGCGGTAATGCACTCCGCGGCCACTTCAGCCATCAGAACCAAAACACAAGCATATGTGATGATGCGCTTTACTGTAGATTCAGGACTACTGTTACTCTCTTCCTCCTGAAAGACATTGTTTTTTAAACTAAAATGAATGCAAGTATAACAATGACACGTCGTCTTTTCCTGATTAACAAATGTGATACCTCCCCCTTGGCCCAGTTCCAAATACTGACAACCTTGTCTAGAGATCATCAATTAGCAAAGTAAGATTTGTTATATACATACTGCAATTTGTTATCTTAAATTAATATATTTTCAACCAGTATTTTTTTTTTTTTGGTAACACCTTATTTTGATGGTCCCTTTTTAAACATTCTGTTAACTATAAGTAACTTTGCAACTAGATGTCAACTAACTCTCATTAAAGTATTAGTAGACTGTCTGCTTAATATCTGCTGACACCTTATTGAGATGCTCCTCCAACAGATATTATACTGACTATAAGTAACTTTGCAACTATGTCAACGTATTCTATCCCTAACCCTACCAGTCTACTAATACTCTACAAACACTTTAGTGAGAGTTAGTAGACCTGTAGGTGCAACGTTAATTATAGTCAACTGAATGTGTTAAAACAGCGCAGTCTCATCCCAAGACGTCATCTAACTGGCGCTTTTGACCATACGTCAACATCTGCCGTTTTAGGGCACCCTTTAACGTCAGTTAGATGATGTAATCCTTACCCTACCCCAGACCTAAACCTACCCACGTTATCTAACTGGCGTTAAAGGTAAAGCGTCAGTTGGATGACGCCGCAGGATCGTCATCTAACTGACGTTAAACGTCGGATGTTGACGTATGGTCAAAAGCGTCAGTTAGTTGATGTCTTGGGATGAGACTGTTACTGTGTTAGTTAAAAGTTACATTATTAATTTTTTTTTTCAATAATGTGAAGCTTCCTTGTCATGGTATAATGATCCAGAATCCAAATTTGTAACTATTTTAATTGTATCAAACTCATTGCAAAGATCATTGCATTCAAGTGCTTTGTTGTCGGAAAGAACAGGAATCACGAAGGACACCCGTCACAAGGTGAGGATGGTACAATCGATCCAATAACGAAGTGATTTTGATAATACAATAATACGATAAAATCAGGAACGGATAACAGAGCATGCATGAAACACAACACGCAAACGTCAACCAACATCTGAAGGTGCACAGGGAAGAATTTAAATACTTGATGGTCATGGTATTGAACTGAATGATGAGTCGATGATTCGTCAATGATGTGATGATGATTCGGGTCCATGGTTACTGAAATCAAACAAAGGAACGCATGTGATGAATTAAAACTAACTTAAAGTCCATTAAAGTTAAACTAAAGATGAACAAGTCTGCGTTCCAGGCAGGTTTTTAAGCACGTCAATCATGACTTCAAACCACGACTCACGACTTTGTAGCATTCCAGGCCAGTCACGCCAAACTACCTGAGCGCAAGGAATTGTGGTGGCTTACTTAGATGTAAACAAACCAGCATGGCGGACCTTGCGGGGCTTAGCGCATTTGTAATAATTTCTGTCGCCAAAGGTGCTTATTAGAGCAAATTAGGAGGAAAAAATGGCACATAAGACAAGATAAGCTGTTACTTTATTTGTATATTTGGAAATGTATTTGGTATTAATTTTTCCTTGCACTCAATGGACTGAAAACGTGTCCATTGCAGAAACGTGTACCGCCTGCAGAAACACTGCATCCGTGGGGGCTGCCATTGTTGTTTTGTATGGTTTTGCGGGCTACGTGATGTCAGAGCTTGTAACTGGGAGTACATCGATCTAGTACGAGTTCACGGGTGGGAAATCACGGGTTTGACTGCCGTTCCAGTGCACTTTCATAATGTTATAAGGTTGGAAAAACAGAGGTTACAGGTTGCCTGGAATGCACATTAAGTCCAGATAAGAGTAGGCGCGACCTCGTGTCATAGTTGCAGAGATGAGGGAGTGATGGAGGGAGGACAAGAGATGAGGTTATGGTGCAATACGCACAACGAGACCTCAGCGTTTTCTCTGGGGTCAATGGTGGTGAAGAGGGGGCTGGGTCTGGCAGCATTCTGGGCCGTGGGTAGACACTCTTCAGACACTGGATGATAGCGTCCATCCAATTCAATCCAGAGGGGTCTGGGAGGTCTAATAGGTAATGGTAATTAGCCCCGATCCAGAACAGTGACTTCAGGGTCCAGTTGTCAAAGGGGCTGTGAACGTTTTTTTTTTTTTTTCTGTGAAGGTACAACTTTAATGACAAGATAAGGCGATGTAGCTGTTGTGGGAAAATCGGATAAAGAATACCAGTCACAACCGCAATCATTCTCACCTCCGGCATGTTTAAAGTTTGTGGCCTGCCCACCTCGGGAAATTGGGTATCAAAATTATTCCAGAGCATCCCAGTGGCTTTGAAACTCATATTTAGGATAATTCTGATTGCATGTGAAGGTAGCATTACACCATGTGCAATACAAATAGCCTGCCTTGTTGGCAGAGGCTATTTACGCTAACTCTGCCCATCATTGTCTGATTGAGCCAGATAACAATATAAAAGAAATCACACTGTATACCCCTGTATTTAGGTGGCACCTACTGTCGCGAAGTGAGCTGAATTTGTATTCAGCCCACCTGAACAGACAAAACGCATCTGGAAATCGAACCGAATTTATGTCGGTGTGAGGAGGCCTTTAGATTGCATGGGCATCTGTGCTTTGTAATGAGGTTTCTCTCAATCCTGTTCTAAATGTTCCAGCAAGTTGACAGCAGATGTGAGGAAGCTGGTGCAGACAGCTGTGAAGAGAAATAAAAATAAACATGCTGAACAGAGATGCCATCAAAAATGATTATTCAACGTCAGTCAACTTCATTCTTTGAGTTCTCATCTCAAAGCTCCATTCAGCCAAACGATGAAGCCATAAACATTAAAGCCTCTTTTATCAGGCTGTACTGAATAAGTCCATTGCTTGGGATATATGCCAACGCGCCTTAAAAAGCCTTCCACATCAGCCCAAAGGAATATTAACTCTTTTATTGTACTTTAGTGGTTGTTTGTTCAGGATTAGAATACCAAGATCATTCTCCTCTAATGGGTATCTGTTATTACAGAGCCTGTTATTCATTGTATGTGGCTGGAGATTTTGAAGTCCTTTTCTTACTTTATGAGTGCTGATGAGAGTACGAAAGTTTTCTCAGGAAGACTACAGTGATGAATTGTGTATTGACAAGCTTATTGATGATTTGTTGTTTACTATGTAAAAAAGTCAATACAGAAACAGCAAAGTTGTATTTGGCCCATGTAGACACAAATCTGGATTGGCTGTTAAGCCTTTTAGAACAAAGACATGAAGCCACAGTTCATGATTTGAATATAGTTGTCAAATGTCAATTAATTACTTTTCAGATTAGTATGCTCAAAGCTGAAGAGTTCTTGTAGAATTAATTCTACATGTGTGCAGAAAAAGTCTATAATTAAAGCGCTAACATTTTACTTAAATGTTGAAAGAAAATCTCAGATTTTTTTTTTTACGGCTAACAATAGATTAATTTGTCTTTCTCTCTTGTGTAATATCATATAGGGGTGTTGTGCGTGTGGACATCAGCTTGCAGGATGTGGATATTGATCAGTGCTCTGCAGATGGATGGTTTGCTGGAACACACAGGTGCAACCTCACCACAATGGAGGTGAGTCCATCTTCAAGCTCTTGCTTCAGTGACGCAATTCAAAAGATTTAGCTTATTTGAAACATTCCAGGTGATCAGTCCACACTTAGTGGCTTGAAACTATAAGTATATAATGTTAAAGGAAGAGTTGATGTCACAGCCCTTGTGAAAGAAAGTCCTCTTGATTGTATTAAATGTGCACTTGCTGTGTGCTTCTAATCTTAAAAGTATAATATTGACAATATAATTTTAATGCCATGAAATACCACTTAAAGGGTTCGTTCACCCAAAAATGAAAATTAAGTCATTAATTACTCACCCCCATGCTGTACCAACCCCGTAAGACAAATGAAGATATTTTTTATTAAATTTGAGAGCTGTATAATTTTTTCGCACAAAAAGTATTCGCGTCGCTTGATAAACATATAGTTGAGCCACGGTAGTCACTTGGGATATTTAAACATTTTCTTCATTGACTTTCTGGGCCGTCAAGAGGCAGTCCCTTAGGAGCCAATGTGGTAGTTATACAGCTCTCAAATTTAATCAAAAATATCTTCATTTGTGTTCCGAAGACGAACGAAGGTCTTACGGGGTTGGTACAGCATGGGGGTGAGTAATTAATGACTTAATTTTCATTTTTGGGTGAACTAACCCTTTAAGTTTAAAGAGAGTACACTTTCATGACTTTATTTTAACAAAAAGTGCACTTTCTAAAATGGTTTTACTTTAAAGTACTTTACTTTTTAAAGAAGCAACTTTTTGATGCGTTTACTAACATAAAGCATGTGTACTGTAAAAGTAATCATTTTAACTGTAGTGTGTCATTTGACATTCATTTGATATTGGTATGCACAATTGTCATTATATGATATAATAATTATATATATACAGTATATATATATATATATATATATATATATATATATATATATATAAATATAAATTACATCCATAGAAAGCAGTACATTTCTTTAAAAACAATAGAAGTAATTATGAAATGACATATGAAGATGTATTTAAGCCCTATTTAAGTGGATCAAAAATTGGTACATTTAATATAAATTTAAACTATAATACCTTTTTGTTTTATTTTTTTAAGAAAAAACACACACTATAAAAGTACTTTAAAATAAGTCGCTATTATTATATTATATTATATTATATTATATTATATTATATTATATTATATTATATTATATTATATTATATTATATTATATTATATTATTCAAAAATAGGGCTGTTGGTACAAGTAGTCCACACAACTTCCAAATCTTCGTATATGATATAAGATAGCTTTTAAACAGCTAAAAAGAGTGAAAAATAATAATGGTGTCAATGCAATTAATCCTAAAAGCCATTGATTCTCTCATGTCGCTGTTAATACTCTCCTAAAACAAGGATGATCCAATCCTGCTTCCTACAGCGCCACTGTCCTGCAGCGATTTTCTCCAACCCAATTAAACACACCCGAACCAGCTAATCAAGATTGTTTTATGTATAATAGAAACTTCCAGGCAGGTGTGTTGAGGCAAGTTGGAGCTAAACTTTGCAGGACAGTGGCCTTCTAGGAGTAGGATTGGACATCCCTGTCCTAAAACTTTCAGACTTGTTAGGCATTATTTGCAGACTTTGTGTTTGGTGTTAGTTGCATCATAAGATGCATAAATGATGTTAGAATATTCATTTTTGGATAAACTATTCCTTTAATGTCTCTGGTTCACTGCAGAACATAAACAATTTGAACTCTCCAGGACCTCTTGCAGCAGTCAAAAAAATCACATCATTCAGCATGCCATCTTAAATTCTGGTTTCAGCCATTGATTCATGGTGTTCATCCTGCTGTTATTTTGAATAACAAAAGACATTTTTTATATATATCTTTGACCTTCTGGATCAACAGTGAATGATTTTGAGGTGTCTTAATCCTGTTAACCTGATGCTTGGAGGATTGCAGTTATAAAGAGAATAGATTTTTAAGGTCTGGCTCCTTCATAATGGATGTGATGTAATAGATTGCACTGGGTGCACTGAATAATTGAGAAAGCTCTTTGTGTGCTCGGCCTCCTGATGGACACTGCACAGTGTGCGTGTGCGAGAAACAGTTGAGTGTACCACACATAGCGGCACAGCATCTTTACTTTATGCAATTGAATTGTGACCTCGGTCGACGTAATAGCTTGCATCTTCCCCTCGTAGCACAAGTCTGGTGACGGTGATGCGGACTATAAATAGAGCTCAGAACTGCATTTCAATCAGGAGTTTTGTTGTAATGAGATATAGCTGCTTTGTACCAGAGGGCCCAATGTATGCAAAAAGCAGTAATACGTTCTCATTATTTCAGATGTCTGACGCTGAAACTACAGCCTGATCCTGTTTACGCCAAACCAGAGATTTCCTACTTCATCAGACCAAGAATATCATTAGCAAAGACTTCCGGAATGTGTAATCCAATACTGCATATGCATTTAGCCATTGTGGTTCAAGGTCTGGTTTTGCATGCTAAAACATCCTACTAGCTGATGTAAGACAAGCATCGCTATTTTTATTGCTAATTTATAGCCTTAGTGAACGGAACAAACTCTAACCTTGAGTATTAAGCTTTGATGTGTAGTTTTTTTGTGCTACTCACATAATAATAACATAAATTAAATCATGCAGCTAATTAAGGATATCTAGGCTATTACTCTTCGTAGGCTATTTAAGAAATCAGATAGAGTTTGTTTGTTTGGTTGATGATGGGTGGAAACATCCCATAAAAAGACTTGATGGTGGCCCCAAACAACACTCGGAACTCAATGTTTACATGTTACATTTGTGCATTTGTCAGACGCTTTTATCCGAAGCATCTTACATTGCACTCAAGGTATATGTATTTCTGTAATTCTTCCATTTCCTGGAAATCAAACCCATGACCTTGGTGTTGATGGCATCATACACTAATGTGTGAAGATGCAAACCAATCTCGGGGACGGATGCATTCGAAAATGCGTTTCTGCATTAGCATCTTGAACGGACACTTGTAAAGGGCCTGATTTTAAGACCCGCAGGTTCAAGATTGGCTGTAACCCACCACCTTTTTAGAGTATAATAAAGTACGGCCTGTAGAATCCAGTCTTCATATCGACTGGAAGGACTGGCTCTATCCTCGCCAGTAGGACTACAATCGGCACAAGTATGACAGGGGAACGGACTTAGGCCAGCCGAACTGAATTTTTTAGCCGAGTCTGATGGTGCATAGGAACCAGCTGGACTGGTTGGCAAGCAGTTTCCAGGCTTCCACGAACCGGGCCAGGGGGACCAGAGGCACCACAGACCACGTCGTCGAAGAGCCCAGTCTGGGAAATTGGGGAGTCCAGGAACCAAGACTTGTCGGTCTCCCTCATATCGGCCAGGTTGAGCCAGAGATGGCACTACTGGAACACTAGAGTGTACATCGCCAGAATGATCACGTGAGCCGCAACCTTCTTGCCCTGGAGGCCAAGGTCTGTTGCGGTGCGGAGCTCACCCATGAGCTCACTACCCTCATGCATGTCCATGAGTGTTTGGCCTGGTGGATCTGCAGCAACTCCATGATACGCTGGAGGAAGCAGCTTGCCCTCAGGCTTTGTAAGCCATGCCCGTAAGAATAGACGAGAACTTACAGGACTTAGGGGGAGACGTGCATCACCCTTCCAAGAGGTAGGGGCCACCATTCTCAGCTATATCTAGACAGATCGCTCCACTGGAGGGACAGCCTCATTACCCTTCACCTTTCCTCCGTCAATTGTTGTGAGGGGAGGAGGTACTAAGTTGGTTTCTAAAGAAAAACTTGTCGTCCATGACCTTGTAACCTACTCAGGCACTTCAGGAAAGAATGGTACTGGGAGGCGCGCTAAGGACCAGCACGGCCAGCCCCGAGAAACCAAACATCCAACCGAGACGGTTCGAGACATGGTGGAGCGTTCCACGTGAGTCTGACCGTCTCGGCGGCCCGTTTCAGCATAGCTGACATTTCTAGATCCGGCTCGGGCAATGCTACTCCCCCAGAAGGAGGTAGCATGGCCAAGTCGTCATCTCCAGAGTCCAGCTCCCCTTCCGATGCGGCGAAAGACATCCTGTCCTCAGGAGGAGCCCCGAACGAAACAACTGGTTGGTCCACTACAGAGGCACCAGCACGTTCAGTAGGGAGCTCCACTGGCTGCGGTGTGACAGTGAGGGAAACAGGGACCGGTTACCGGGTGGGGATGCCCTCACTGTGATCCTCAGTTCACCCATCCCACACGGCACAGTAGCTCTCTTCTGGGGTGGGCCAGATGGGGCGTTAGAGCAGTGCACGGCAATGGGGAATCCACCTTCATGGATGAAGATGTCTTGATCTCAACCCCGAGTTGGTGTCATGTTCCTGCAATGAGAACATGAACCGTCCACAAAAGCTGCTTCAGCGTGCTGTATGCCCAAACACGTGATGCATCTATTGGGACCGTCAGCTGGGGACAGGGAACAAGCACATCCAGAAAACCACGAGTCGAATGGTGTCTTGAAAAAGACTTATACGAAGATGTATACATGTTGCTCTTTCTTTAGGCATGACCGTGGCAACACTGACACTCACTTCTTTGCCCTCTAACCAGCCGTCAAACAAACAAACACAAAGAGAATTATGTTAAAACAGTGGTTGGCAGCTCAAAAGCTTGCGATCACTGCTGCACTCGTGCTGTAGAACCGCCAGCACCAGGAGAACCTTCTAGAAGAAGCACCAACACACTCGCTCGTTGAACGAATCAACACTCTTTAGACACATCGACATGAAGACCGATCTGCTACGAAGCGAAAGACATATGGTGCGTGCATCCGCTTCCGTGTTTATACTCGTGCTGCGGGGCGGAGCGCAAGATGCAAATCTCTGACACCAATGTGCAATGGCTCAGTTTATCAATACTCAAATATGACAGGCTCCCTAAGCGTGATCCCAATCTGAGGGGCGTTTCCCGAAAGCATCGTTAGCCAACTATGGTCGCAAGTTCCGTCATTATCAGCATA